CCCCCCCCAAACCGGGGGGCTTGTCTCCACCCCCCCCCCCATGGAACGCGCGGCCCCCCCCCCCCCCCCCCCAAAAGGACCTGTCTAACCCCCCTTCCAGGGGGGGGGGGGGTCGGACCCCCCCTAGCATGTGGTGTGAGTAGAAGCAAGCCCCCCCCCCCCCCTTGAAGCGATGTCCGCCCGCTCCATATGCAGCACCTTGCCGACGACTCGTGCGTTTCGGCGGTAGTGATCTGATCACCCGAATGCCACGTTCGGAGCGCTTCTCATCGCAAACCCCGTCAGCAGTCCTCCTCCGGGAATGTACGTAAGAGCTACATACACGGAAAATGTTGATGCATTACTGAGGAATGAAAAGAAATCAAAAACGGGAAGGGGAGCCGAGGAGTCGAACCTCGATCGCGGGAGCCACATTCCCGAATCATGACCCCATTAGACCAACCCCCCAAAACAGGATGGTAGTCCGGAGACTAAGTAACAAGCTGCTTTTGCAAGCGGCCGCGCTGATTGTTTGTTTGTTTGCTGTGACCATCCTAACCCCCTCCCTCGCACACGACTTATATCCAGCCCTCGCGCACCGTGCCCCGTACACTTGTGGCGGCGTCCGCTGTCCGGGTCCAGTCGTTACTCCGAGTATGAGACTTCCGTTCCGGACACGACCACGACGCAGACCGGAGGACGTGTGCCACTCCACTCCGCCATAACTCACACGATGCCGTCCACTACGCCCTGCTCCGCCTCCGCCTTCGTTGCGATGATGGACTCCAAGACAGCCGGCGAGAACGGTGCGCTCGAGCACTCCGACGCCGGCTCCCCGCTCGTCGCTCTCTTCTTCAAGCTCGTCCGCTCGCTGCCCGACGACTCTCTCGCCTCGCTGACCGCCGCCGTGCCCGCCGAGCCCGCCTCGCTCGCCGACCTGACGGTGCTCGCCTTCCAGACCCGTGCAACACGCGGTATGGGCAAGGGCGAGAAGGACCTCTTTTTCAAGATGCTCGCCGCCCTCCCCGTCGAGGCTGCGACGGCGACGCTCCACCTCGTGCCGCACTTTGGCTACTGGAAGGACTACCTGCTCATGCAGGGCGTCGCTGGGATCGACGCGGCGGTCAAGGACAAGGCGCTGTCGCTCCTCGCCGACCAGCTGCTCAAGGACGCGGCCGAGCTCGAGGCGGCCGAGAAGGAGGCGCGCACCCCGAACCTCACCCTGGCGGGCAAGTACGCGCCCCGCGAGGGCTCCGCCTTTGACGGCCTCGCCAAGCGGCTCTCCACACACCTCTTCGGGAACAAGAACGAGGCGGCGTCGGCGCGCAAGTACCGCAAGCTCGTCGCCTCCCTCAACCGCGCCCTCCTCACCACCGAGGTGCTGATGGCGGCCAACCGCTGGGCGGAGATTGAGTTCGCGCGCGTCTCGTCCCTCTGCCTGCAGCGGTCGCGCAAGGCCTTCCTCAACGAGGCGCTCAAGGGCAAGCTGGCGCCGGCGCAGGAGGAGACGGGCAACCGCCACCCCGAGGACGAGCAGCGCGTTGCGGCGCGGCACAACCTGCGCAAGGCCCTCCTCGAGAAGGGCGCCAAGGCCGTCAAGGGCAAGCAGCTGTATCCACACGAGATCGCGCAAAAGTGCATGCGCGGCGGCCGTACCGAGCTGTCGACCCTCGAGGCGGACCTGATGCACGCGCAGTGGGAGTCGATGCGCGAGGGCGTCAAGGAGGCGATGGCGGCGGCGGCTGAGGCGCGCGAGGCGGCGGTCGCCGAGGCGGCGGGGGAGGGTGCGCCGCTCGAGGCGGTGGCGGCGCTGCGGGCGGCGCTGCCAAAGCCGGTCGACCTCGGCAAGCTGGTGCCGCTGATCGACGTCTCTGGGTCGATGGTGGGGACGCCAATGGAGGCGGCCATCGGCCTCGGCCTGGTTGTGGCCGAGCTGTCCCACCCCGCCTTCCGCAACCGCGCCATCACCTTCGAGTCGAGCCCGCAGTGGGTGCACCTCGACGGCGCAGGCAAGGTGGCGTCCAAGGTGCGGGCGCTGCAGGGTGCCAGCTGGGGCGGGTCGACCGACTTTGAGGCGGCGTGCGAGCTGGTCCTGGGCTGCGCGGAGCGCGCCCGGCTCAAGCCGGACGAGGTGCCCGACCTGATTGTCTTTTCCGACATGCAGTTCAACGAGGCGCGGGGCGCGCACTGCATGTACGGCCGCTACGGCGGCGGGCGGTCCGCGTCGTGGGAGACCCACCACGAGCGGCTGACGCGGCGCTTCGCCGAGGTTGGGCGTGCGGTGTGCGGCGAGCCGTACGCCGCGCCTCGCATCATCTATTGGAACCTGCGCGGGAACACGGCGGGCTTCCCAGTGCAGGCTGACGCGCCCAACACGCAGATTCTCTCGGGCTTCTCGCCGTCGCTCCTCAAGCTGGTCCTGGCGGGCAAGGACCTGGTGGGCGACGAGAAGCAGGTCCGGCTGCCCGACGGCACGGTCAAGGTGGTGCGCGAGGGGCCGACGCCGGAGGAGACGGTGCGCGCCGCCCTCGACGACCCCGCCTTTGACGCGGTGCGGCTGGCGCTGGCGGGTGTGGAGGAGGGGCCGCTCGCGGGGTACTCGTTTGAGAAGGACGACGCGGTCGTGGTGGCGGACGCGCCGATGGCGGAGGCCTTTGAGGTGGTGTGAGTTGTGAAATAGTAAAAAGAAGAAACGCGACGTAAGCCGGTGCACTGCATTCTGCATACCTACACACTGCATGGCACGGAAGCGGAAAAGAAGGAAGACAGAAAACAGACAACACAAGGGAGGGATGGCGATGGGAGGACGACGGCACGCCGCCACCACACAGGGATTTTAAGGAGAGGAGTGTTGTGGTGCCGCCGCTAGCCGTCGCCCACCCTTGAGCGTCTGCCTTTTCGGAAGCGGAAGAGGGCAGATTCTTTTCTTCGCCACACACCCTGCCCACTACCGCGGTGCGAACGGTGTCCACTCCGCCACAGGCCGCCGCTCTCCTCCGCGCGCTCGCTCAGGACGACGTCTCCTCTGTGTCCAAGCTCCTGTCAACTCCCGACTCTTATCCGCCCGCGACTCTCGTTTCGGCGAGTGGCCGAGCCGCAAGGGGTTGGAACTGGTTGCACGTGGCGGCTGCCCACGGTGCGCCGGCCACGCTTCAGTGGCTGATCTCCTCCGGAGCGCTCGGGGTCGGGGCTGTCCATCAGCGCGCTGGCGACGGTCGCACTCCGCTGCTCATCGCGGCGGAGCACAGCCACGCCGAAGGCAGTGACTGCGAGGCGCTGGCGGCGCTGCTGCGTTGCGGCGCCGCCGCAGACGTCGCTCGCAAGCCGGACGGTGCGACGGCGGCGCATCTGTGCTCAGCACGCGGCTGCTCGCGGTGCCTCCGCCTCTGTCTCCAGCGCGCGCCACACCTCGTCGACGCGCGCTGCCGCACGCGCGGAGAGCAGCCGCTGCACGTCGCGGCTCGCTGCGGCGCGAGCGAGTGCGCCGCCGTGCTCTGCGCACTGGGGGCCCGGCTCGCTGAGCCGACAGGCCCCCGAGCTGCGCTGCCGCTGCACCTCGCCTGCCTGGCTAGCCGCGCCTCCTCCTCCTCTGCAGCCGCGCGCACGGTCAGGCAGCTGCTCGGAGAGTGTCGCACCAGCGTCGCCGCCTCGGAACCTTCCATGCACCCTTCTCGGAACCTTCCGATAGGCAGCTGCTCGAGTGTCGCGCCAGCGTGAGCGAGCGCGACGGGGCGGGAGGGACGCCGATGCGGTACGCCTGTCGCTCCGGCTCGCGCCGGGTGGTCAGCACCCTCCTCTCCTACGGCGCCGACCCGCGCTGCTTCGCGGCGGCCGTCGCAGCGGCTCTGCGCGCCGTCTCCGCAGAGGCTGCGACCCGCAGCGGCGCTTCCGCGCTCGGGGCGCCAGCGACGCTTGCGTCGGCACGGCGGTACGCGCGGCTGCTCGCTTGCCTGGCGCTGGGCGGCGCGCCGGTGCGAGCTGCCGACCTCGAGGCGCTGCGCCTTGGGATGCGCGAGGCGGAGCTGCTCTGGGCGGGAGCAGAGCCGCTGCGGCCGAGCGCGGGCGGCGGCGGCCAAGCGGTGCCATCGCTGTGGGCCCTCGCGCAGCGCGCGTCTGCGAACGGTCTCTCGGCCGAGACAGTGCTCCCAGCGCTGCGCATGGCCGCCTGCCTCGGCGCGCGCCAGCTGCAGTACGAGTGCGAGCGGTTAGTCGTGCAGAACGCGGCCGCGCTGGGTGTCGACCGAAGCCTCCTCGTGGCGCTCCTCACCAACGCGCTCGGCCGTCACGCGGCAGTGGCGGCGGCGGTCGCCGCCTCGGGAGAGCCCAGGAGCGGCGGCTTGAACAGTCAGTGGCGGGCCGTGGCGGCGGGCGCAGAGCACGACCTCTTCACTCTGGCGCCGAGCAGCGACGATGAGTCGGCTTCCAGCAGCGGCGCGAGCGGAGGGGAGGGGAGTGAGGCTGGGGACGAGGCCGGGGAGGCCAGCACCCTGGTCGGCAGCAGCGCCGCGAGCGTGACGTCTCAAGCCTATTTTGCTGTCCGCGAGCCGCCCCCACCGGGCGCCGTCCCGCCGCCTCCGGCGCGATGGCGCGGAGCGCCGGACACTAACCACCCATCGCAAATTTAATATCAGGACATATGGCTAGCCATATATTCCACATAATACATAGGTTCCGATTCGTTTCCAGTTCCACCCCTCCTGCGCCTGCCCCTCTCAGTAACTCAGACCCGCCCGCGCGATCTTGCGCGAAATCTTTGTGCCCTCGACCTTCCTACATACATAGAGAGTGAGAGAGCAGAGAGGTGCACGCACACACGCGCACCGGTGGACACACGTGGGTGCACACACACACACACACACACACACACACACACACACACACACACACACACACACACACACACACACCCTAGACGCGTGGCTCTGCGGCCTCCGGCTCTGAGGGGACTGAGGCTCTGACACTGTGGGGAGGGTCGGCGACGGTGAACCACCAAAAACTAAAACACAGAGGTCACAGCAGGAGCGGCCGCTGCCGGCCTCACGACGCGGTCACAGCAGCGGCCTCCCCCACAAGCTGTGTGTACGGGCGCCGCGCGGCACGACCCCCGCCGAAAGGACCGCGGCACGACCCCCGCCGCCGCGGCCTCAGGGCAGCAGGCTGAAGAAGTACTCGGCCTCGAGCGGCGCGTCCTCGGGCAGGTCGGTGCAGTGCACTCCGTTCCGAACCTTGTCCTCGCCGTAGCGGGCGCGCAGCGACTTTGGGTGGATGCGCTCGGCGACGGCCGGGTCGTGCGCGCCGCACAGCTCGCGCAGCGCCGCCACCGAGCGCTGCGGCTCCGCCGTGAGCACCAGCTGCAGCGCGACGCAGCCGCCCTGCGACAGCTCCTCCGCCCACTCCCTCGCCTCGGGACTCACTCCCTGGTACACCTCGAGGAACTCGGACGCGTTGACGCGGGAGAGGGCGGCGCTCCGGCCGGCGACAAGCTCGAAGCCGGCGGCCACCACGTCGCGCACGATCCCGCCCAGCCTCCCCCCGCGCACCGCGTGCGGCTTGACGAGCAGCAGCCCGCCTCGAGGGTCGCAGCGCGCGAGCGGCGCCGATCCGCCAAAGAGGAGCTTCGCCTGCGCAGCCGCCTCGGCGCCGTCGGCGGAGCCCTCGGCGCCGGCCCGCCCCGCGATGGCGGCGCGCCACGCCGAGACCGCCCTCGCCCCCTTGAGCTCGATGGCCACCAGTGGCCCAGCACACGCTCGCGCAGCAGCCCGGCTGTCGTGCGGAAAGAGGGAGGAGGCCTGCGAGGGCGAGAGCGACAGCACCCGCAGCTCGGAGACCGCGAGCGACGCGGCCGCAGCGAGCTCGAGCGCCTCGCCGAGGAGCGCCCGCGCTTCCGTCGTGACGAACGCCACGGTCCGCTCGGAGACGGGCTCAAAGCGGCGCCCGGTGACGGCGTCGGCGTACCCGAGCACCTTGAGCTGGCGGGCGTAGACGGTGACCGTCGACCCGACGTGGAGATCCGAGAGGGTGACACCAGGGCAGACGCAGCGCTTGAGGAACGTCCGGCGCGTCTTGCTGTCTATCATCTCGACCGAGCCGTCCGACTCAAAGTAGAGGAGCGAGAAGTGGCGCTTGAGGCAGGCGACCTCGTCGTACCACTCCGTGTCGAAAGCGTAGCGCGCATCCGTGTCGCCAGGCATGGCTGTTCGACGGTTTCGGCCTGGCGGTGGATTCGGCTACTCGAGTAGGGAGGGTGGTACCCGAACTGAAACGCGAAACGCGATCTGTCTCGCGTCCTCAACGCTTGCGATTCAGCTGTCGCGCCGCTGGATGATCTTGCTCAGCTCGCCGAGCTCGACCTGAACGCTCAGCGGCGCGACCGCTGAATCGCAGCCGTTCGTGCTGCACGCATGCATCGTTGCAGTTTCAGATTACTTCCCCCCCTCCTCCCCGTAGGATTCTCGGTCGATCGATCGCGCGTCCCAAAAGTCGCCAAAAGTGGTATGCCGCGAGTCGCAATAACCCGCCCGCCGTCCCGGCGGTCCCGCAGCTCGCGCGCATCTCCCTCTTAACCCACCTCTAACATCACAATAGTGGATCCCTACAGTGGGTTGCGGCGCACATTCCGCGGCACGCGTGTGCTGGGGGGGGCGACAGGGAGGACGTGGCCCTGAGTTATGTGTACGCCAACTCAGGGACCCGCCGAGTCGGCTCTCTGGATGACGGCCACGCAGGCGCGAAGAGAAATTTTGAGCTGGGGCTCCCGTTCACACTCGTGCCTGGCCTTTTCTCGGGGCCGCGCGCCTGCGGCGCGCCGTGGTTTCTTAGATTTTTGCGGAAATCGCTCGCGTGGTTTCTTATTTGGCCGCTGGTACCCTTCTGCCGCCGTCGCTCCCCCGGCTCTGACCGAGTACCGGGCGTTGAGGGAGGCGGCGCTGGGCGGCGCTGGCGCTGCCATCGCCACGAGCCGCGCGGCGGCGGTCGCAGTGCACCCGGCTGCGGCTCTCGGCGCAGTCTCTGCGGCGCTCGGCGCCGTTGGCGTCGCGGGAAGCCGCACCTCTGCCGCCGTCGCTCCCCCGGCTCTGAGCGCGTATCGGGCGTTGGGGGGAGGCGGCGCAGGGCGGCGCTGGCGCTGCCATCGCCACGAGCCGCGCGGCGGCGGTCGCAGTGCACCCGGCGGCGGCTCGCGGCGCCGTCTCTACGGCGTTTGGCGCCGTTTGACGTCGCCGGCAGCCGCACCTCTAGTCTGCCACCATCGCTCCCCCGGCTCTGACCGAGTATCGGGCGTTTGAGGGAGGCGGCGCAGGGCGGCGCTGGCGTTCCCATCGCCACGAGCCGCGCGGCGGCGGTCGCTGTGCAGCCGGCGGCGGCTCTCGGCGCCACGTTTGTGGCGAGCGGCGCAGTTTGCGCTCACCGGCGGCTAATCGCAGCCGCCGTCGACCTTCCGCCTTCAGACGAGTGCGGGGCGCCGTCAACTCGGAACAGCGCGGCGCTGGCATGCCCCCCGCAACGAGCCTCGCGGAGGCGGTCGTGTAGCACCCGGAGAGGTCGCTCGAGGCCGTGTTCGAGGCGAGCATCGCACTTTGAGCGCGCTTTCGGCCCTGCTGTCTGCAATAGCTGCATGGCGCGGGGCAGTCTCTGGCACGATTGAGGCTGGCTGGGGCCAACTGGCCTGGCTCACAGGCGGCAGGCAGTGCTAGGGTGGCCTGGGCCGCCCTGATCGGGTGTCGGGAGGCGTTGGATACCTCTTTGGTTGGAGTTCTCACGGGTCCCGGACCGGTCTGGAGTGCCTCCGGAGGCCCGTTTGACACCTGCACAAGGCTGGTAGTGTACCACGACACATAATGACCATGTATTTAGCTGCCCCGGCACAAGTAGCGATAGTGGGGTGCGTTTTGGTGTCAGAGAAAAGCGATCTTTGGGGGCTGGTGGTCGATTCCGCTAACGCCATGGCCCATAGCCTTGTCAGTCGCCGTCACCGCCCGGTTGAGGGTGGCCAGCTTGTCGAGGATCGAGCTCTGCACCTTCTCCAGCTGCTCAGTGTGCGTCTTCAAGACCGAGATCTGGTTTGCCACCTGGGCCTCCGCTCGAGGGTCCGCTGCGCGCCGGTTGCCCCGCTGCAGCGTCATCTGCCGCAGCTCGTCGGCAATACCGTCGCGCCAGCCTTGCGTGATGCCCACCACTGCGCGCTCAACGGTCGGCGTGACGAGCAGCTTCTCGAGGACCGGCGCGCGGAGCGGCTGGCCCTCGGCCGTCCAGAAGCTCACATCGTCGCCGCTCACGGAGACGGTGGCGCCGAGCACGGCCATTGTCAGCGCCTGGAACGCCTTCTCTTGCTGCACGGCGAGCGCCTCGGCCCTGAGCAGGCGCATCATGAAGTCGAGCTCCGGGTCCTCGGGGCAGATCTTGCCCTCCCACAGCGTGGCCTTCCCATTGAGCTTGGCCGTGAACTGCAGATAGCCGGCTGGCATGGCGGCGCGCAAGGGAGTAACGGGAAAAAGAAAACTAGTTCGGAGTATGGGGACGCCTGCAATTTGACTGCATGCAATCCATGCTCCCGAGCTGGGGTCCTGCAATCATCGCAATCCCACGCAATCAAGGGAATCTCAGTGGGATTCCTCGCGCGCCCACTCTCAATTGCATGTCGCCCCCCCCCGGTTTTTTTTTTCATCCCTACCCCGCCGCGAAGAAGAAATCCAGCCTGGATTGGCCGCCGAAAAAGAAATCCATACTGGTACTCCGCGGTTTCTTTTTTTCATCCCCTACCTTCACACTGCTGTGAACAGGTGCCGAACCCATACTGTGACCTCAGAGCATATACCTAATATACCTGTAGGGCCCCAGAAGGCTAGCTGGTTGCTTCATTTGTAGTAGCACAGCCGCGGGTCCGCAGAGGTGGGGCGGGAGGGTTGAGAGAGAGACCCTAGGAGAGACCCATGACCATCCCATGACTACATGTCTTTGCATGTAATAGTTTTGTTATACCCTCATGGGGCACAAGAAAGAGGCTGCACGGCCTGTGTATGGTCTGTGCTGCTGTCGGGCTGGTCGGGCTGTCGGGCTGTCAGCGCTGCTGTCAGGCCACTGTGTGCTGTCGGGCTGTCGGGGCGGGGCGCGGGGGCGGCGGGTGTGCGGCGGGTATCGAAGGCTAGCTCAAAAGAAACAACGCGAAATCATCGCGGAGGGCCTGAGCAGAACACACAAGAGGCGCCCGGGCGCTGCGGTAGCCTCGCGATGGCCGCGCCAGATGCGCACCGCGACAAGCGGGCCAAGGCGGGGCCCGTCCTCTATCCGATGGATGAGCCTCTGCTGCGAAAGTGCGACGCGCTGATGAAGAACCTCGCGAAAAAGTCCCAGGCGCGCAAAACGCTGCGCACACAGAAAGCCCATGCTCGCCGCGTCACAGCACGCATCGTCGTCGGCAGGAGCCGCCCGTATCCTCCTGAGCCCGCGCCTGCCAGCGACTAATGCCTCCACGGCTCCTCCACACTAGACGGCTCCCGGCCAGCGACAGCTGTCTGCGCCTCTCTGCCCTCAGGCAGTGCACTTCTTGCGGCCCGTCGACTGGAAAAAGATGGGATTGGTCGACTACCCAAAGGTGGCCGCCTCTCTCCGCTCCCCGGGCCTCGCACGCCCCAGCTCCTCACCGCCGCCTCGCGCAGCAGCCGCGGCAGCGGCAGCAGCCACCGACGCCAGCGCCCTCCTCTTCCCACTCCCTGCTGTGCCCAACGCCACCACTGCGTCCCCTCGCAGCTCATCAAGCATCCCATGGACATCGGCACTGTCTCGGAGCGGCTGGGCAAGAACCATTACGCCCGCCTTGAGGACTTTGCCAACGAGACGCGCCTCATCTGGAAGAATGCCTTCATCTTCAACGCGCCAGACTCGCTCTACTTCAAGGCGGCAAAGTCGCTCTCGGACGCCTTCGAGAAGGCGATGGAGAAGATGGAGGCGGAGGTGCGCGGCCCCGCCGCCGCCATCGCCGCGCCGCAGACGTCGCCCTCCCAGCCCTCGTCCTCGGCCAGACTCCCTGCTCGCCCGCCCTCCTCACCCTCTTCCCTCCCCTCCTCTCGCCCACCCTCCTCGCTAACCCCCGGCCGGCGCACCGTCCGCAGGCCGAGGCGGTCAGCGCGCTGCAGGTCGACACGATGGAGCGGTGCAACATCCTGCTCGCCGACATCCAGGCCAACCCGCTCGCCGAGTGGTTCCTCGACCCGGTGCGCAGCAGCAGCAGAGTCCCGCCTCCGAGGGCCGAGCCCCGCCCCTCGCCACCGCCCCCTTGCCTCCACGCTCCCGCCGGCTCATTTTGCCGTGTCGCCGCACGCCCCTGTGCTCCGTCACCTTCCTACCGAGCCGCACAGCCACCCCGCCGCAATTAAAGCTCGCGAGACCGCACCGCCGCCGTTCTGGAGGCAGCCCTCGGCTTGCGGGTGTCGGAAGCGGCAGACAACAGCCATCCACACTGCTCCCCGCCCTGCTCTCCTCCCCTACGCTCCCTCCTCCACACGCTGCTCCTCACCTCCACACACTGCTCACTCCCCTCCACACACCGCTCCCCCCCCACCACCCCCTACCCCCCCCCCTCCACACGGCTGGCGCTCTCCCGCCTCTGCCGCCCTGGGACAGAGGCCTCTGCCGCCCTCGGACAGAGGCGGCCCTCGGTCCGGTCCCTCTCACCCCCCCCCCCCCCCCCCCCCCCCCCGAGCAGGTCGACCACGTCGCTCTTGGCCTCACCGACTACACTCAGGCGCGGCGGCGGCGGCGGTGGCGGCGCGAGGGCGGGCGTGCTTCGGAGAGCGTACCACTGTGCGGTGCGCCTGTAGGTCATCACGCAGCCGATGGACCTCTCCACCATCGGGAGGAAGCTGCAGCGCGCGCAGTACCTCTCGCCCGAGGACTTTGCGCACGACACGCGGCTCGTGTTTCAGAACGCGATCACGTACAACTCTGCCCAGTCCATGTTCGGCGTCGTCGCCGGCATCCTCGCCTCCTCCTTCGACCGCCGATATACGCTCATCACGCAGGCGGCGGCGATCGACCCGGGCAGGCCCATGCCCGACCGGCCCGGCTGGCCGACGTTTGCGCAGAAAAAGAAGCTGTATGACCTCTGCACCAAGCTGTCGCTGGCGGACCTGAACCAGATGGTGCAGATGGTGCAGAAGGGGTGCCAGGCGGCGGTGCAGCAGTGCGGGCACAAGGAGGTTGAGGTGGACGTGGACGAGCTCGACATGGACACCTTCAACAAGGCGCGCTCGGCCCCGCGGCTGCCCGCGTCCCGCAGGCTGCTCGCACCACACCCTCGCCCACCCCTCGCCTCTCGCCGCAGGTGCTCGGCTTTGTGGGCGGCAAAACCAGCAGCAAGGTCAAGGCGGACCAGTGACGCGGCGCAGCTATTCACGCCGGCGCGCCCACGGCATACGGGGCCGCTTCGGGCTGTCGGCGGGTGCGAGGGCAGGGGCGGGGTCGGACTCCTCCCGAGCACGTGGGTGCCGGGCGGGGTTGCTAGCGAGGGTGCCCCACCTCTCGAAGGTAGTAATTGGGGCGTGCATGTACCTTGTATTTTGTCTCTGTTGTTTTTCCTCCCTTTGGCGATTGACCACGTCGCGCGCCGCTCGTATAGCGGACTGGTATAGACGGTGAGCAGAGATCTGAGAGTGATGTCTGAAATGGTTGGGTAGTAGGGCTAGAGGCAAGAGGGTCGCTCTACACTTAGCCTCTGCAGCGAGCGAGCGCTCAACTTAGCCCCCGCACGGAGCCGGGCTCGGACTTAGACCCCCATGGTCGGGGGCCATGAACTTAGACGACATAAGGCCAACTCCGGGTAAAGCCCGGGTACACCTGAAAAGCTTTCAGGTTTACCCGAAAAATACCTGGACGCGTCCCGACCAACGTAGTTTGCCGCGCACGACGCCATATCGCCTTCTCCCAGGGCCAGTGCGCTACTTGCGGCGCGCAACGCCTGCTCAAGTACGCGCAACGTACCATATGCTGCCGCTATGCGTGCCTTAAGGCGGCTGCGGCGAAGCGGCGGGCGCGGCCCGCGGCATGCCGATGGCAGTGCGGACGATGCGGTTGCGATGTGTTCTGCTTCAAGATCGTGGCGGTGCTTGGCATGCACTTCTGCGATCCCAATCAGCTCATCGCAACGAAGCAGCGCAACAAGCTGGCTGCTGTCAACAAGGCCCTATGCTACCTCACGCGCGGATCGTTCAAAGAGGACCAGCATACACAGGCTTCTCTGACATGCGTTTGTTTGAGCTTGAGGCTATTTGTGAGAACTGTTTGGCGAAGAAGTCGCCGAAGATTGCGCTCAAGAAGCAGCAACGAGAATCGGAAGAGGAGGATGCTGAGGCGGCGATTGCTGAGCATGAGAAGGATCGATCGCCCGCCGCAGGCGAAGAAAATTTGGGGGTTGCGCCGTATCGTTTGTACGTTGATCACGGTGGGAGCCTCTTGGCCCCAGGCCGTCCACGGCCGACTTAGCCGATGTAAGAGGCTCCCGCTGATCTTAGACCGCGCAAGCACTCCAGCGTGGCTAGCCACACTTAGACCCGTTAGGCCTCCAGGCTCAGAACTTAGACTACTACCCAACCAGTATGTCTGATGAGTGTGTCCGGGGAGAGAGCGCTCCATGGCGGCCAGCAGGGCGTCGCACAGTGGTCAGTGCAGGCATTCAGGCATCGTTCCCTAGACCCTACAGTACTGCCAGAGCTACTTACTTGATTGATGTCCAGCGCCTGTGGATGCCCGAGGACATGTCGGCCTACTCCCTACACGCCTCAATCGTCGTCTTCGAAAAAGTAGCGCCACCTTCCGTGTTCGTCCCTTGCCCGGCAGACCCAGGTTCCCTCCGTCCAGTAGACCCGCGTGTGGTTCTCGTCGTCCATGTCGCCGGCTCCGAAGTCGCTAAATATCTGCTCCGCAAAGATCGCGTCCGGGTTGTGGGGTGGGAAGTGAGACTCTGTCTCTGCCACGAGCTCGCGCCAGCCGGGCAAGGGGATCGGCTTCCAGGCGTCAACCAGCGCCGACTGCTCGCACCGAAGCATCGTGTCAATGTCCCGGAGCAGCGCCTTGCCCTCGTGCTTCCAGTCGACAGCCGGCTCGTCCATTGCGCCGCCAGGGATCTCAATTGCGACACACACGAGGTCGTACGGGCATGGGTGCTGCACGCGCCGCCGGGGCAAAGCGCTGTAGAGACTCGGGTCACAGCGCGCGAAGCGGCAGCGCATGACCAGCGTAGTAAACTCGTCAATGGCAAACGCCCCCCCGCCGTCGAACAGGGCAGATGCCCCCCCGCCAACCTCAGAAAACCAATCGATCTGCTGGTACTCTTCAAAGGTGCAGCACGCCCGGTCGCACGGGGCCCATGGCGAGGTCAGCGGGCGAACGCTGCGGAGCTGCCGTGTGGCGTGTGGAGGGAAGACAAGCGTCATGCACCCCGTCGAGTCGTGGCAGCATCCCACGGAGGTGCCGGCGCTGTTGACGGTCTTCAGCTGTGCGATCGCCCCGCGCACGATAATCGTAGCGCCGAGCCGCACGCACGTCTGCACGTGGTTGCTGGCTTCTGCGAGCGTGACTCGTCCCACCGGTGCAGCCGCACGAGCGGCGTGGCAGGCGCGCGAGTCAAGCACCGCCTTGAAGCGACTGCAGACGAGGCGCAGCGTCGTGTGCGCCGGCGGCCGCCAGTAAAAGCCGGGCGGGATGAGGGCCTGCGGGTCGCGGAAAGGAACCTGCGACAAGACTGCGGCGAGCTCATCATCGCCCAACGAATCGAGCTGGGTCGGCATCGCAATGCGCGTGAGGTTGCCGGGCTTGATACGGACTGCCTCGCCGCTTTGCACGTCGCGAACGCACCACCGTCCAGACGCCTCGTGGAAGCTGAGCAGCTCCACCTCCGCGCCGTTGAGAGCCGTGCGCGACGTCAGGCCATCCACGCGCGCGCGGCAGGCCGTTTCCAGCTGCATATGCATGTGTGTGTGTGTATATGCGGCGGCGCCGACGCAGCATGCCCCAATTTCTTTTTTTACCAATTTTGCGCACTTGCGAAGGCAGGGGGCGGGTTTTCTTCCTTTCAGAGTAGTTGTACAAACGAATTGGAGAAAACGGAGACGGAGGCGCGCTTTCTAGGCCCTTGGGGGCCCTCCCACTCAGCGCAGTCGGAGAAACCGGTGAACGAATCTTCGGAGGATGCAGTCATCACTGCCGCGCTCACTGTATAAATAAATAAATACAACGGACATCCCAAGCTGGCTGGGTCGAGGACAGACACGTCCCCACCTTTGCAGGATTTTGCAAAAGCGAGGGGGAGGGCGCATCGCCGCGCGGAGAGGGCTAGCGAAGGCGGCACGAGGAGGGAGTAGTTGACATCCGAGAGTCGCCCTTGACGGAGGCGAGGCGCGGCGCGGAGCCGGAGAAGGCGCGGGCGCAGGGGCGCAGGCCGGAGACGGCGCGGGCGCGAGGGCGCAGGCCGAGGTCGCCCTTGACGGAGGCGAGGCGCGGCGCGGAGCCGGAGGTAAAGCTATGAAAGCTGAAGCGTGAGGCACTGGCTGTGCGATGTGAGTTGTCACTCTCGATGACGGAAGCGAGACTCGAGTACTCGACGGTGACGGCGGCGGCGACGGCGCTGGTGGCGGAGGCGCTGGCGGAGAGCTCGGCTACGGTGGAGGCGGCGGCAGGGCGCGTCCGGTCGTAGTCGAGGGCGGCGCAGGCATCTCGCGCGCTGGCCAGAAGAGCGCCGGCCGTGCGAGGCGAGGCAGCGCACTTGACGGTGGCGACGCCTTGCTCGACGGTACGGCCGACGGCGACGGCGCTGGCGGCAGAGGCGCTGGCCGATCGCTCGGCTACGGCGGAGGCGGCAGAGCTCGTCCGCTCGCAGTCGAGGCCGGCGGAGGCGTCTCGCGCGCTGGCCCGAAGGGCGCCGGCCGTGCGAGGCGCGGCATCACGCTCGAAGACGAAGGTCTTGACGGAGGCGATGCCTCGCTCGACGGTACGGCCGACGGCGATGGCGCTGGCGGCAGAGGCGCTGGCCGATCGCTCGGCTACGGCGGAGGCTGCGGCAGGGCGCGTCCGGTCGTAGTCGAGGGCGGCGCAGGCGTCTCGCGCGCCGGCCGGATGAGCGCCGGCCGTGCGAGCCGAGTCATCGCACTTGATGGAGGCGATGCCTTGCTCGACGGTAGCGACGGCGACGGCGCTGATGTTGCAAGTTCTAAAAAGGTTCCACCAGGGCTTGCGCGTGGCGGCGGCGGCTGGCGCCTTGGTTTGGGCGGCTGTGACTGGCGCCTCGGCCTCCGTTTGGGCAGAGGCCTTAGCTGGTTGGTTGGCCTTGTGGGCGGCGGCCTCGGCTGTCGCCTCGGCTCCACCTTGGGTAGTGGCCTCGGCTGTCGCCTCGGCCTCTTGTGTGACACACAGCCTCGGCTGGCGCCTTGGCAGCCAGGTCGGGGGCTGTCGCCTCGGCTCCACCTTGGGTAGTGGCCTCGGCTGTCGCCTCGGCCTCTTGTGTGACAGCCTCGGCTGGCGCCTTGGCAGCCAGGTCGGGGGCTGCGCCCCCTTCTTCCCCCGGGCCCCCCCACGGTCGGCGCCCCGGAGGAGAGGTCCGACAGGAGGCGTCGGCGTCGGCCCGCAGCCGATGGCAGTAGTGAAGGAGGCAAGGGGCAACTGACAGCAACGGAGCTGGGCGGCGACCGGTAGACTCGATCGAAGCAACCCCCCCAACACGAGATGGTCCGCATCGTCGGCACCCTCGCTTGGGACTGGGGCAGGGTGGCCTGGGTGATCTGAAGTTGAAGTTGAGCTGCGCCGTGTCTCGGCGCCGGCGATGATGTTGTTGATGGACGGACCTGTGAGGACGGTTGTAAACCATCCATCGGTCTGCCTTCCGGGAGCGCCTGGCGGCCTGCTGGCGGCCGTCCTGGAGGCTGTGCTGATGCAGAGGAGCTGGTGAGCGCAAAATGGCAGGCGCCGTTGATGGAGATCATGTCTGGAAGCGGCTCTGAGGGGACTGGCACTGGTGTTGGTCCAGAAACAGCGACGGCGAGGATGACGGTGAGCAGGATGGTGAAAACGCAGTAGCCAGTAGACTTCGGAGCCTGCGTGGCTCGCGCCAAGACTCGGAGCCGCAGAGAGAGCGCAAGCGGCGGTGAACCGCTCGCGAGCGCACACAACGAGCCGGCGGGCGGCAGTGAGAAAGTAGTGGACAAAGTCGACGGTGACGACAAAGATGGAGGTGGCGATGGAGAGGGCGAGCTGGATGATGGGCGGCGCTGAGCTGAAGATGGCGCGGGCGCAGGGGCGCAGGCCGGAGACGGCGCGGGCGCGAGGGCGCAGGCCGAGGTTGTCGTCGAGGGCGCAGGCCGAAACACTGGTCGCGCTGTCCAAGGGACGTCCACGTGACACGATCGATTGTGGCACAGAGGGTGTGATGCTGGAGTATCGACACTCATGGGGCACGGCGCAGGATGCGCCGTGCTAGTACACCGTGTGTAGCGTGTGTGAAGGGTAGCACAGGCGTCCGAATTCAGACGCATCTGACCATGCGTCGCGTTGTTTCTTTTCCTTTGCCCTCTTTGGCGCCCGGTCGCGGCGGCGTCCGTCTTGTCAAAAAAGAGATAAAGTACCGCCCACATTCATGCTCGACGAGGGCTGCATCGAGCTCATGCACAGCGGGCAAACCGCCGGCCAGGCCGGGGCCAACCCCTACCGCGTGCAGATCATCGACATCAAGCCGATCAAGAATCCGCAGGGCGGCGCGGCGGACCGCCACCGTCTCGTCATCTCGGACGGCCGCCACTACATGCAGGCGCGCCACCCTGCGGGCGCGGCGCGCGGTGGCGCGCGGCGGCGCCCCGCCACTCCAAGCCTCATCCGAACCGCCCGCGCTCCCCACCGTTTGCGCGGCCACCGGAAGCCGCGCGCGCGTCAGCGCTGCCGCCGAGCTGACCAGCCGCGACTCGCCCTGCGCAGGCGATGCTCTCCACCTCGCTGAATCCGATGCTCGAGCGAGACGGGGTGAGCCCCGGACGCGCCGGGAGCGCCCCGCCGGCGTGGTGAAAATGATCCACCACGCGCGCACCTCGCCGCAGATCCGTGCGCTGAGCATCGTGCGCCTCGACAACCACATCATGAACAACGTGCAGAACCGCAAGGCGCGGCCCTCCGCGCGCGCGCCGCCACCGCGCCCCGCGCCCCCCCTGCCCGCCACCCCCCACAGAGACGCACCGCACCCCGCCCGCGCACCCGCCCACACACCCGCCCGCCCCCCGCCCGCCACCCAGTCCCCCCCCCCCCCCCCCCGTTCCCCCAAGGTCATCATCATCCTGCAATTCACGCTCATCTCAAACGACCAGCCGCAGATCGGCCACCCGCAAAAGTACCCCCCCCCCCACCCCACCCCCCACCCCCCCGCGCCCCCGCCTCACCCCCTCGCACTTGCGCGCGCACAGGCTCGACGAGACCGGCGGCCAGCAAGGAGCGCCGCCGCAGACTCACGCGGGGGCGCCGCAGGAGGGGGGCTACCCCGGCGCGGCGCCCGGCGGCTACGCGCCGCCGCCGCAGCAGCAGCAGTGGCAGCCGCCGCCGCAGCAGCAGCAGTACCCGCAGCAGGGGGGCTACCAGCAGCAGCCCCCGCAGTACCAGCAGCAGCCCCCGCAGTACCAGCAGCAGGGCGGGTACCAGCAGCAGGGCGGGTACCAGCCCCCCCCGAAGCGGCAGCAGGGTCCCGACCAGCAGCCGCAGCAGCAACCCTACGGTCAGCCGCCGCAGCAGCAGTACGGCCAGCCGCAGCCCTACGGCCAAGCGCCGCAGGGCTACGGCCAGCAGGGCTACGGCCAGCAGGGCTACGGCCAGCCGCCGCAGCAGCAGCACGGCGCCCCCCCCCAGTACGGCGGCGCGGGCCCCTCCTACGGCCAGCCGCAGCAGCAGTACGGCGGCCCGCAGCAGCACCAGCCGGCGTACGGCGGGGGCGGCGCGGTGCAGCGCGACAGCAGCGGCAACATCCTGCCCATCGCTGCGCTGACGCCGTACACGAACCGGTGGAAGATCAAGGGGCGCGTGGTGCGCAAGTCGATGCGCACGTACCAGAACGCCAAGGGCGAGGGCAAGCTCTTCAACCTCGAGGCGCTCCTAGACGCTTCCTAGACGCTTCCTAGACGCTTCCTAGACGCTTCCTAGACGCTTCCTAGGGCAAGCTCTTCAGCCTCGAGGTGCTCGGCCCGATGCGCGTAATCAGCCATGGTTGTGGTGGTGGTTAGGTGCTCGACAAGACGGGCGACATCAAGGTGACGGGCTTCAACCAGGAGTGCGACTCCTTGTTCGACAAGATCGAGCCCGGCCGCTGCTACTTCATCTCGGGCGGCCAGCTCAAGCCCGTCGACCAGCGGTACAACAAGACGTCGCACCAGTTCGAGATCACGCTCAACCGCGGCTCGGCGATCGACGAGACGGAGGACGACCCCGCCATCCCCAAGCAGGAGTTCCAGTTTGCGCCGCTGCCCGCGATCGAGACGATGGCCGACGACTCGTACTGCGACGTGCTCGCGGTGGTGGCGCAGTGCGACGAGCCGCTCACGTACACAAACAAGGCGGGCAAGGAGGTGACCAAGCGCGTGATGCACCTCGCCGACAAGAGCGGCAAGTCGATCGAGGCCACCGTCTTTGGCTCGGGCGCCACCGACGACCGGCTGCAGGCGCACGTGTCCAGGCCGCGCCGCATGACGCGTCTGAGGCATGTCCCGTAGGCGCCACCGACGACCGGCTGCAGGCGGACGTGGTGCTCGCGATCAAGGGCGCAAAGGTGGGCTCGTGGAACACAAAGTCGCTGACGCTGTGGGGCGACACGCACTTCGAGCCCAACCCGGACACGGCCGAGGCGCACGACTTGATGGGCTGGTGGCGGCACACGGGCTGCTGACGAGACACCTCCAGGACACGTCCTAGACATGTCCGAGACATGTCCCACAGGTGGCGGCACACGGGCTGCTCGATGCAGCGCGCGCACATCTCCGTCTCGGGCGGCGGCGGCGGCGCCTCGCGCGACTCGCCGCGCATCCTCTTCTCGGACATCGAGGAGCGCGCGATGGGGATGAACGGGACGCCCGAGTACTTCAGCGTCAACTGCTTCATCACGCACATCCGCACCGACCAGCGCACGCTCTGGTACATCGCGTGCCCAAACTGCAAGAAGAAGGTGCAGGGCGCGAGCGAGGATATGCTCGACGGCCACTGCGAGAAGTGCAACGCGCCGACGACGGGCACGCGCCGCTGGATCTTCACGGGGCAGTGCAACGACCCCTCGGGCTCGCGGTACGTCTCCTTCTTCGACGACACCGCCGTCCGGCTGCTCGGAGGCCGCACCGCCGACGAGATGGCGCCGACGAAGGAGTCGGACAGCAGCCGGTTCGACGCGCACTTTCTGAAGCACTCCTTCCAGCGGGTGGTGATGAAGTGCCAGGTCAAGTCCGACACGTACAACGACGAGCAGCGCATCAAGGTGAGCTGCCAGAACTTCGAGCCGCTCAACCCAGTCGCCGAGGGGCGCCGCCTTCTCGCCGAGATCGCGTCGATGGGCGCCTGAAGGGGCTGTCGGCCCGGCGGCTCTGCCTCTGGCGGCGCCGGCATGTGCTGGGGAGGCATGTGGTCTGTTCTCGGCCCCTCGCTTGCGCGCGCGGTGCGGCGAAGCCGTCGACGTGGGAGGGGCTGGGGGAGGGGGTGAGAGGGAGGGTAGCGCCTCCAGCGCAAGGCCATGGGGGCCATGCTTGACGCTGCCGTTGGCACTGTCCGCTCGCCGCGCAAGCCGTGCAGAAAGCAACTGTCTAGCCGCGCCGCCGCGCGGTACTTTCGCGTCGTCTGGGGCCTCTGCGCCCTCTGTTTTTGTGCATACAGTCTTGGGAGGCGAGAGAGCGAGCGGGCGCGTCTCGCTTCACGCTTGTTTGTGTTTTCCCGGGAGGCGGGAGTTGACTTTTTGGTGTCATGTTGCCTCCTTGTCCTACTTGTCGCGGGGGATAGTGCGTGTGGCGAAAAAAAAAATTGCTAGCTCAAAAAACCGGCACACCAATCTCCCTTCCTCTCTCTATCCTCTCTTGGAGCTCCAGAGTCCACACCCCCCTGCCCCGGGATCGCGTACAAGCTATGGCTACCGTAGGCCACACTAGCGTCGCTGGGGGTTCCCTGCCCTAGATGGGAAGCTGGCCGCTGATCCGAAGACCGACTGCACCAGGGCGCCTAGATATACTCGAGGTGAGCGAGGGTGAAGTTACGCCTTAAATGCCGGCCTCTCTACTGTGGACCTTACTCCGAGCTCGTTGGCTCCTCCTATTCCCCCACCCCCCCTCCCCCCCCACTCTCTCCGAGCAAGGGCGTGCGCTACGTCCCCAAGGGGGGGGGGACGTGGGGGGGAGGTGTGGCGCTTAGGTTGTGGCGTTTGGGTTGTTGTGGGGCACCCAAACGGTTTCGGTTTTCCTCCTTGGTGCCCCGAGTAGAGCGCGATCTCCCCTGGAGTCTGTCGCGCCCGTTCTGTCTAAGCTCGAGGTTCAACCTTCCAGTTGATCCTTATCGGACTGGTGAGGTCTGCCTAGCCGTCGTAGTGTAGTGCCTGGGGTGCGTCTGCGTCGGTGCTACACACACTCGGCAGGACGCTGCTCTAGGTCGTTGCTGCTGGTCGTCGCTGTTTGTCAAGGTGATAAATCGTTTCTCTTTTGTTTCAACAAAATGACTCTCACAGTGACTTCTTTGTGTGGCCAAAAACATGTCCGAGATAAACCCGAACCCGGGCCTTTAGACAGAATGTTGGTCCCCGAACCACTAGACCACGAGCCTTACTTTGCTATCTCGCAATACATTTTCTTCAGCTTTTCTAGTATGATCTCCCCGTGGCAGCGGCGCGGGGCGCAAGCGCAGACCAGTCCTATGGCTTGGCCATGGATCATGTGGGTAAGCATCTTGGAGAGTGTCTCTTGTCGCTTGTCCGGCGTGACTAGTGCCGATGATGCATGGACTAGGAGTGGCGGATTGTGGTCTGCTGCTACTGCCGCTGGTGCGCGTCGGCCTTCGAGCACCTGTCCGAATCCTTCGACCACGAGGTCTCTCTCGCTCTCCCCTCTCATCACAAAGGGGTTGCCTAGTGGAGACGGTCGCTGGATGTTAAACGGGATTAGGTGGCTCGGAAGAGGGTGGCGCTTGTGTAGCAGCATCACTAGGCCCTATGCGTTGTCGGCGGAGGTGGAGCCGCGGCGCTTCGCGTAGGCCTTTTCCGCTTCCTCCCGCTCTCGCTTCCGCTTCTCTCGCGCTTCGACGAGGCGGTTGCGCATGGCTGCCGTCTCCTCCGGGGACTTGTTGGCGGTCGAGGGGCCAGGTGGGGGGCCGCTGAGCGAGCGGCAGTCGCACCAAACTCGGCTCAAGTCCCCCACCAGCCCTTGTTGCTGCAGCTGCGTGATGTGGTGCGCGACGACGCCGTTGAACCTCGCGAACGGAGGCAGCTTGAGGCACCTATATTCCAGAGTGGTTTTCTTTTTCTGTGATTTCTTTTGTGCGGTCTGCTGCGACTCGTGCTTGGAGCAGAAGATGGACTCGCGGCGGGAGAAGAGGTCAAACTGCCAGGAGCGGCCGTCCTTGTCCGCCACGTGGATGCGGCCGTCCGCCTTGGTGATCGCGGGGAGGCCCTTGGGGTTGTGGATGAGGACGTCGTGCAGGGCGTCGAATTGGACCTGTTTGGTGGATTGGTGGAGCAGTCAAGGGCGGGAGGAAGGGTGGGGAAGAAGGGGGGATCTGTGCCTTGGTGTGGCACCCGAACAGCTTGGTGCCTGGGGCCGCGCCGTCGAGGCCCTTCGAGTACGGCATCATGATGCGGCCCGAGGCGAAGCAGATTTCCTGAATCGCGATCACGAGAGGGCGCGCCCAGACGTGCATGGGGACGTCGGGCGGGGGGGGCGGCGTGGGTGTGAAGCCCAGGAGCGTGTTGCTCGCCGCCGAGTGGCTCTCGTCGTGCTGCCACGCCATCGCGGGCTTGCCTCGGACGCCGGAAATGGGCTCGATGCGGATGGCCGCGCCGGAGGTCGTCTGGCAGTCCGCGCGCGGCTTGATCATGCAGATGGGATGCTGCATCGGGGGGGGGGGGAGGGGGGATTCTGTCTTTGGTCGGTAGGGAAGAGTTGTGGGTGGGCCGCAGGGCCTTCGACTCGTCGTCCCGCTTGACCGTGATGTCAACGTAGAAGCTCATCGCAGAGATGTTGAACGAGAATCCCTCGAAGGCCTTTTGGACCGCCTTCCGGACATCGATCTCGAGGGTCGTCCCCCGCGGCGCCTGGAAGAGGTTGCGCATGGTGCGCGTCATCTCGGCCTCGTCCACAGACTCGGCGAGGAGGGTCGACTGCGGCATGATCTCGACGCGGAAGTGGACCATGTTCTTGTCCTTGGATTTGGTGACCTCCTTGGTCTTCTCCTTTAGCGCCATGGTGAGGTCGACCACATTCATCGTGATCTTGGCGCCGGGGGGTATGTTGCACCGGTCGCCTGTGAGGGTCGTAGGACGGAGGGAGGAGGAGGGGGGTGAGGGATATTTCTTTATTTGGGCAGGGGAGGGGTTTCTTTTCCGCACCGTCGAGGTAGGTGGCAACGAAGCCGTCGCTGATGGGCAGTGGGACGCCCGGCGTCGCAAAGCGGTTCAGCATCGCGTCGAAGTCGACCATTTCGTCCGAGCTTGAGAGGTAGTAGGTGTTGCGGTTTTGGTGCAAGTTGAATTTTGCCCCCTCGTACTCCATGTCGAGCGTCATGCACTCCACGACGGTCCCCACGTGGGTGTTGTTCATGTGGATCGTCTCGATCATCAGCGCCTTTTCCACGTATGGGAGGGACTCGCCCATCGCAGCCTGCATTCCCTATGGCAGAGATTCGCGGCTATATGAGCAGCTGTAGAGGTGGTTGTGCATGAGTTGGGTTCTATCGGTTCGAGGGGCTCTTGTTTTGTGGGGAGTCTCGGGTTCGAGTTGTGGGTGTCCTTCGCGGAGCGAACGCGAAGCGCGCGAGCGCACGCGCGTGCGTGTGCGGAGCGCGTGCCGTGCAGCAAGCGAGCGAGCGCAGCGCAGCGTCAGCGTCAGCGTCAGCTTCTGCGCTGCGCTGCGTCGCGAGTGCGCGCGTCGGATTTTGTGCTATGCTCTGTCGCGTGTGGTTGGTGGGCGCGTGTTCGCTCGTTTTGGCGCTGTTCTGAGTGCAGGTTTGGTCTCTGTGAGTGGCTGTGTATCAGTGTTTTGTCGACGCTTGTTGGGGCAGGCCGGGGGAGTGGCGGCGCGCGCCATAAAGGTGCCTGCCGGTTGAGGCGGTGGTGCCGGTTCGATCCGCACGCGCTTGCTCGGGGACTCGCTCCGGGAGTCGCTCATCGGCTGGTGGTTTAGGGCGACTAGACTTCGCACTGGCGCCGGAGGCCCCAGATATGAAGAAAAGTGGTAGTGCGTGTGGCGAGGCTGTGAGCGGCGAGGCCTGCCGACATGGCATTTTATTCGCGCCTTGTTTTGGCGCATGGCAGTCTTGGCGGGTCGGCAAATTCTCTTTGGTTTGCCAGTTCGCTCCTCCGCCTCGCTGGTCCCATCTGGTCCCAGCCATGCTTACGCCGCGCGAGGAGCAGGAGATGGCCGAGGTGCTCGAGTCGGAGTGCGCCGTCGAGATGGACAAGCTTGCGACCCTGTGTCGACTTGGCATCCCCGAGCGGCTGCGCGCCGAGGCGTGGAAGTACCTGCTCGGCGTGACACGGCCCGAGAAGGCGCAGGAGCTATCGCTCGGCAAGCTGATGGAGCAGCGCTACCTCCGGCTCGAGCGGGCGTGGCAGAGCGACCCGCAGCTCGAGCTCACGCGGCGGATCAAGGCGGAGGTCCGTGGGCACCACGCCGCTGCGCCTCATCTCCGCAGCCGGCAGCGGCTCGAGCGGCTGCTGCGCACCTACCTCCACTGCCACGCCGCGGACTACACCTCCGGCATGCTTCACCTGCTCGCGCCGTTTGAGCACGTGTACCGCGACTCGGACACGGACGCTTACTTTGGGTTCGAGGGGCTGATGGGCCAGCTGAGCTGGGCGCTCACCTTTGAGGGGCGCAAGCAGATGGCGGTCGCCCTGCTCACGCTGCTGCGCCACCTGCTACCCGAGCTGTACGCCCACCTCGAGGCGGAGGAGCGCCTCACCACCGGCACGAGAGCAGCCGAGACTGGTCGAGACTGGTCGAGACTGGTCGACACTAGCACACTTGACGCAGAGAAGCGACTCACCACTGGCGGCTGGCGGCCTTCATCACCTATTCACAGCAGGAGGTGTGAATAGTAGAGCTGTGAATAACTCACCACTGGCGGCTGGCGGCCTTCCCGACTCGCGGCTCTCGGGAGCCGTTGTCTGAGCCTGCTCGCAGCCCGCCTGCTTAGGCAGCCCGGCTGGCGGCGGCGGCTGGCTCGACTCTTGGCTCTCGCTGCTCCTGTCCAAGGAGCTGCCGCTGCCGTGCGTGCTCCGCCTGTGGGACGCATACTTTTCGGCGCCGCCGGAGGGGTCGCTGCAGGAGCTGCACACCTTCGTCTGCCTCGCCGTCCTCGAGACGTGCCAGGACGAGCTACTCGAGCTGGACGGCGACGAGGAGCTGCCGCAGTACCTGCAGCACCTCCCCGCGATGGACATGGGCAGGGTGGTCACCTCGGCGCTCAACATGCGGGACGACTGCCTGGCGAGAGGCCTGTGCGGCAGCGGGGGGACGCGCGGCGCCCTGTGAAGTACGTGGACATACTGTTGCTAGCAACCTACCGTGTGTAGCATACGCATGTGCGGCTGACATGGCGGCTGAGCGCTGAGGCACGCGCTAGGGCACACGCGCGCACATGAGGTGCGCGACTGTATCTTTTAGGACTCGCAAAACAGAGAGATGGGCCCAGGTAGGAGGCTCCACGCCACCTGACTCGCGTCGTGCCACCTGACTCTCGCCTGGAGAGGCCTCTTAGCCGAGGCACACGTGGCAATCGCCACGTGCGCCAACAGGGATTTCGGCCATTTTAGAGCCTTTTGCACAAAAATGCAGGTGGCTTTAGCCACTTGCTCCATGAGCAAAACAGTGCAAAAAGCACCTGGAGCAGATGGCTTACGCCGCCTGTGGACATGGGCAAAACAGTGCAAAAAGCACCTGGAGCAGATGGCTTACGCCGCCTGTGGACATGGGCAAAACAGTGCAAAAAGCACCTGGAGCAGACGGCTTACGCCGCCTGTGGCCATGGGCAAAACAGTGCAAAAAGCACCTGGAGTAGATTCCAAACGCCGCCTGTGGCCATGTGATGCGCTCGGGTGGCGCCATGGGCTTCGGCCCCCTCCAAGCCACCTGCCCCCCCTCCCTCGCCACACGAGGAGGGCTGGAGCACGTGCGCCACCTGGGCCTGGGCAGGTGGCTCCAGGTGGCTTCGGTCGGCCCCTCCAAGCCACCTGCCCCGCCCCCCTCGCCACACGTGGAGGGCTGGAGCACGTGCGCCACCTGGGCCTGATGGGTGGGCAGGTGGCGCCAGGTGGCTTCGGCCCCTCCAAGCCACCTGCATGCCCCCCCTCGCCACACCTGGAGGGCCGGAGCACGTGCGCCACCTGGCGCAAGTTTGAATTCGGAAACGGAAAATCCGAGCCACGGAAGGGCTGGCCTGCCAAACTCCCCGCTCTGCAAACTGGGACTGTGGGGTGTGTGAAAGAGGGCCTGCGGCGGTCATCGGCGGCTACAATCAATGTCCGGCGTCGACATAAGCCTGGGGCTTCAACCCGGCCCGCGCGGGCGTTTGGTGTGGCTGCAAACGCCGCAGGAGCCGGTGGCTGCGCTGCTCACGCGCCGTTGCTGCCGACGCTGAGCAGTCTGACTCGCCAATGAGAAGACTGCCCAATAATACGCCATCACTCGATCCCCGATAAACCAGGCCATGCAGAGCTTTGTCGGCCTCGCCGACGTGCGTGTGCTGGCTGCGCGGTAGAGTTGCGAGAGTGGATTGTGGAGGCGCGGCGGGGTTGTCGGCCGCGCGCTCTCCCGGCGGCAGCTCGCCCGGCAGCTCCGGCCCGCACGCCGCGGCCTGGTTGGCGAAGTGTGCCGCCGGGTTGAAGATGAGCAGGCGCAGGTTGAGGTAGCGCTGCAGAGTGGCGAGCGACGTCTCGTCGGCCCAGTGCGTGCGGCTGCCTATTCACAGCAGGAGGTGTGAATAGTGGAGCTGTGAATGACTCTCGTCGGCCCAGTGCGTGCGGCTGCCTTCCGAGTCGGCGGCGGGGCGGGCGATGTTCCGCCTGGCATCGCGAACGACCTCGGGTCATCTCTCGCGCGATCTCGGGTCATCTCTCGCGCGATCTCGGGCGTCGTGCGGCGGCGGCGCGCTGCGCTGCACATCTCACCGAGCGAGGTGTGGCACGTCTCGGCTGTACCTCGGCTGCATCTCGACCGCATCTCGACCGTATCTCGGCCGTATCTCGGCTATATCTCGCCGCGTCTCGTCGAGGGAGGTGTTGTCGATGAAGGCGAACGCGGCGCCGCCCACCGCCTGGCACGCGAGCCACGCCTCCTCCTTGAAGTGTGCGCCGCAGCAGCGCCGCAGCTCGCAGACCGAGGGAGGCTCGGTCGGGGGAGGCATCGGCGGCGGAGGGGAGCCGTCGGCGGGGGGGAGGCGCTCCCACATGGTCCGCCACATCTCCGGGTCGCGGCTCGCGTGTGCGGAGTCGAACGCCTTGCAGATGGCGGAGAAGAAGCAGTTAGGGTTAGGGTTAGGGCTAGGGTTAGGGTTAGGGTGAGGGCTAGGGTTAGCGCCTTGCAGATGGCGGAGAAGAAGCAGTCGCCGTCGCGCTTGGTCTTGACGGTGCGAAGCCGGGTGCCGAGTGGAGCCGTCTCGCCAAAGCGGCGCCGGTCGCCGGCCGCCGCGGCACGCGCCTCCTTCTGCGCGACGAGCCCCGCCTCGTACTCAGCGAGCGGCACCTGCGCGCACGGGGCGGGCACGCAGCGCTCGCCCCTCCCGAGCGGTGCCGACGGTGGCGCCCTCAAAGCGGCGCCTGCTTTGGCGGGACGCCCTCCTCGATCCACACGCGATGGTAGAGCTCGCCACGCTCAGGGATCCGCTCGCCAGTCTCGTGGGTGACGTACACGTTGCCCTCGCGAGGAGGGACTGCTGGCACGGTGACCGGCACCCACATCCACTCGTCCGAGTGCGCCGCCGCCGCACCAAACTCGATCGAGTCGTCGCCGGCATCGGCGGCGGAGGCCGCGGTCGTGGCAACCTGCTCACTCAGCCAGGGCGCGCCCAGTCGAAGCGCGTCGCGGTGGCCGGTGCCACCCCAAGACAGCACGCGAAAGGTTTCGCTCGAGACCAGCGAGTGGCCCTCCGGCAGCTTAAGCAGTGCGTGCGGCGGCCGCTCATCGCGCGGCATGCGCGCAAACGGAAGCACGGCCGCGCGGAGGGAGGCCTCGGTCGCGGGACGGTCGCCCGCAGGCCGCTTCGACATGGTTACTCCGTTGTGGCGTCACCGAGTCGGTGCCGGGTGCCGAGCGCAAGCAAGAGGCCGAGCGGCAAGAGGATAGAGAAAAACAGCGGCGGCCGCACTGCGCCAGGAGGCGGACTGCCCTCCAAGTGCTCCAAGTGCTCTATCTGTGGGGGTCGGCCCGCAGGCGCATTATTTACACAGTGGCCAGGGGCGGGGCTTGCATTTTTGCCGTCGCCAGTCGCACTCCCAAACGCTACAACGGGGGCGGCGGCGGTGGCGGGGGCGGCGGCGGCGGCGCGACGGGGTTGGTAGGGGGGTGGGGAGGCTGCCGTGCTCGAGCCGAGCACGAGCTGCCGTGTGCGCTGCGCGTGCCGTGCGCG